GCCACATTGGGAGAAAATTACATACATCATAAAGGGCTTTTATCAAAATATATAAATAACTCTAAAGAAATAATTCAATGTTTAAATGAATAAATGATTTGAATAGACACTCCCTATAAACATATGAAAAAAATGCTCAACATTAGTTGTTAAGGAAATTCAAAAACAACAAAAAAATTTTAAACCATGGAAATGTTTGTTAATTTAATTGTGATGGTTTTATGGGCATATACATATGTCAAAACTTATCAAGTTATATACATCATCTGTGCAGTTTATTGTATGGCAGTTATGCCTCAATAAAGATGTTAAAATTTTTAAAATTTAAAAATATCATTACAAAAATAAAAAGTCAAACTACATCCTGGGAGCAAATATTTGCAAGTCATATATCTGTTAAATAATATGTAAAGAACTTTTATGACTCAATAATAAGATAGGCAAGTTAATTTAAAATGGGCAAAAGATATGAATGGACACTTCATCAGAGAAGTGTGAATGGCTGATAAGTACATAAAAATCATTAATCATTAAGAAAATTCAAATTAAAACTGCAGCGAGATATCACTATACACCCACTAGAGTGGCTGTAATAAAATAAGACTGACAATACCAACTGTTGGTGAGGATTAGTAGAAATTTGAAACCCTTATACACTGATGATGGTAATGTAAAATGATACAGGCACTTTGGAAATAGGTTTGGAATTTTCCTAAAAAGTTAAACATGTACTTACTATATAATCTGGCAATTATACTCCCAAGTATTTATTTACCCAGGAGAAATAAAAAACATGTCCACAGAAATATGTGTATGTCATTGTCCACAGCAGCATTATTTAGAAGAGCTAAATATGGGAAATTGGAGAGTGGATAAACAAAATGTGGTACATGTATCCATACAAAGAATACTACTCAGAAATTAGAAATGAGCTCCTTATCTATGCAGCAATGTGGGTAACCTTCAAATCATTATGCTCCATCAAAGAAGCCAGACCGAAAAAAGGCTGCATGTTGTATGATTCTGTTTATGTGACATTTCTAGGAAGAAAGAGTGAAAACATAGAGACAAAAAGTGTATCATTGGTTGTCCAGGCTGTAGACGTGACAGGCAACTGACTCAAATGAGCACAATAGAACTTTCTAAGTGATGGAAGTGTTTTAATCCCAAATTGTGATGGTTGCACTATGATATAAATGTACTAAAACTCATTCAACTGTACATGTAAAACATGTCATTATTATCATGTATAAATTATACCTTAATAAAACTTAGAAATAAGAATATCTAGGCTGGAATTAGGAATTTGAGACTCATTAGCATACAGACGGTCACTGTAACTGTAAAAGTGGAGAAGATATACCTACGGAAAGACCACTGAAAGGGATTATGTAAGAACCTGGGACAGGTCCCTATGGACCAGCAATACTTAGAGGACCTAGCACAAAAGAAAATGAGAAAACGTGGCTATAGAAGTAGAATAAAACCCAAAGAGTGTAGTGTCTCAGCAAGCAAGCATTGCTCAGAGGGTGCTGGTCAAAATAAAAGAGATCAGATGCTACAGATGGCTCAAAGAAGAAAAAAGGCCAAAAGGTGTCTAATGGTGGTCACCCGAGGCCTTGGAATGAGCAGTTTTTGAGGAGCAGGGAGGGTGCAGGTCAACCTGGAGTGGACTTTGGAGTGAGTGAGCGGTAATGGAATGCAGACAAGAAGTGTGGGGAGTCTGTTTCAGTAAATTTATCTGAAATTGGAAGGAGGCAGATGAAGCAGAAACTGAGAGATGCAAGTGAGATATTTTTGTTTCAATAGAAGATTCAACAGCATGTTTCACTGTAGTTGGAAAGAAGTGAGCAGGAGGAAGGATGTTGAGGACTCTTGGGAAAGGGCACACATTTAAACATAAATTGCATGAGAAGAAAGAAGAAGATGGGATTGAAAGCACAGGTTGAGGGAAAAGCATTAAACTGAGAATGAAACAATTCTACCATGCATGCGAATGGAGGAAATGATGGTATGAATGTAAGTAAATTAATAGATTTCAAGGCATTAAGGGAAAGCTCCTTGGATGGCTTCTTTTTTCTCCGTGGGAAGCTTGGTCATCTGAGAGTAAGAGCAGAAGCCCTAATACTAAGGATTTGAAGGGAATAGGGTAGTTTAATGACCTAGAAAGAGGTTAGTGATCATGAATTCATAGTGGTGCTTAACTGCCCAGCTATATCATTTTCTCTAGAATTAGTCAACAGCCTAGGAACAAGAGAGAAGATGGATAGTTGGATTCACTGAGGTTGGTACCATCAGGAAGACAGAGAAGATCCAGAGTGTTTAGAGCAGTGATAAGAGAGTAGTTGAAGGGTAGATCATGAGTATGGTCAAAAATGAAGACACTGGGGGCTGATAGACATCATCTTCACTTGGGTTGCCCTGATACAAGTTTCAAGACAATGCTTGGGGCAGGTAGTTTATTTGAGAGGGATGGCAAGGAACAAGTGTGAGGGAATGGGGAGAATAAGTCAGGTAATAAGAAAAAGCTAATAAAAGGATGTATTTTTAGCTGATTATCATTGTAGGGAACTGGGACTGAGTTATGCTGGGGACCTCTGAGGAATCATGTGGAATGTGCCTCACAATTGTCTCTGCAGGCTAGGAAACTGATGTGTTAGTCCATCAACTCCTGTCACCCTTTGGTGGAAGACTGCTTTCAGGGACCTTACATGTACCCCCACACACACACTTCCTTCCAGGCTGCCTTTCTAGGGATGAACAAATCATCCAGTTTCAGAAAAGCCCCAGAGGCAGAAAAACAAAGATAGGAAGGAGAGTTGAGCTTGAGGTGAAATGTTGACTCCATAGGAACTGAACACCACGACTGGAGCTGAAAACTGATGGAAGCCTAGGGCATGTGGTACGAGGTCAAAATAGACCAATTGAATGAAGTCCCTAGGAAATCAAAGTAGTTGAGCAAATAACTTGAGGTAATAGGAGGAGGTCTTTGACCATGTGAAAGTTACATATATCCTCTGAGCTGTTCACTTGTCATCGGTAAATGGGGTTGAGAACACCCACTTGTAGTTGCTGCTGGAATTAAAAAGAGTCCTTGCTATGAAAAGCACTTGGCATGGAGTCTGGCATGTAGTAAGTCATATGGAATAGAAGCTAGTATATTGTTGCTAGTACCTTGAAACATTAGTAATGCCAATAATTACGTACATTGTGCATAATAATGGATTAATTCGGACTCGATAAAAAGGTTTCACTACTTACCTGAATGTAATAGTTTAAATACCAAAGCATTGCAGTTTTGTTTGGAAGGACATTAACTTTTTATATAGTTTCGTCAAAGAATAGGCACTGGGAAAACCTTTAACGCAATCTAATTCCCATTCAGACTCTTTCCTTTGGTTAGGATTGCATTTAAGTTTCAATTAGTCTAGAATGATTTATTGCATTTTCAAAGAAATCTCCAGAGATCTTCTGTTAGTTTTGTTTTTGACTCTTTTCTGCTTTTGAACTTATCCAAACACTGAGAAACAGTCTAAATGCATCTACTCTCCAACCTCTGATGGCAAATAAATTTTCTTTAATTCTAGCTTAAATCTGTAGTGCTGTGTTTTTACTCTTCTTCTCAATGGAGGAAAAAAGGAACAGCTGGTTTCTATTGTCAGCTTTTGTTCAGTATGCAGTGCTTGAATATCTTTTGGGGGGGGTCTGGATATAGAACTCCCAGTGCTTTTTCCCCCAGAGAATGATAGAATTTACAATGGAGCTGCTTTAGAGCTTTCCTAGTCCCAATATATATAACCTGATGAATTAATACCAGTTAAAATATTATCATCATCTTACATTTCTTTTCTATTGCTTGTAGTAAATTACCTGATGTATCCTTTGCTCAGTTACCAACTGGGATATTATTCTTTTTCTTATGAACAATAAAAGCTCTGCATGTTAACCAGTGAGCCACCATGCACTTTTCCTCATTTTGTCATTTATCTTTGAGTATTTATTGTTGCCTTACAAGTATATCACTAACATTTTGTCAAATATAAAATGTATTCTATTATGAATTTTGTTTGTTGGTTTTAATGCTTAGAGAAATCTTACCATGAGCTCTGAGCTATGTTCACTTATATTTTCTTCTGCTCCTTTAATATTTTTATTTTTAAAAGGGCCCTCTAACCCATCCAGAATTAAATACAAGATTGCACATTTATTCTTGATAAAGTGCATGTTGTTTATTATAGCATGTTGTTTCAGTCTGTAATATTTCATATTACAAATCTGTTACATATATCTGTATAATACATAATATATTAGTGATTCTCAACTGGAGGCAATTTTGCCCCCTATGGGAAATGTGGCAATGTCTGGAGACATTTTTATTTCTCAAGATTGAGGGTAGAGGGGGTGGGGGAGAGGCTGGCTACTGGCCTCTAGTAAGTAGAGGCCAGGGATGATACTAAACATCCTACAATGAATAGGAGAGCCCTCGACCAAGAATTGTCAATAATGCCAAGATTAAGAGAACTTGATAGGTGAGAGAGATCGATCCATTGGGTACCATTCCTCTGCCAGTTATATACTCACCAATAGTAATATAACCTGGCCTGTTTTTCTTTTTCCTATTCTGATTATTTCCTTATGATACATTCTTAGAAGTGAAATCACGGAGCCAAATGAAACGAACAGATTTAAGACGCTTGAGATATATTGTCAAATTGCTGTCCAGAAAGTTCCTTGTTGCTTATAGAAACAAATAAATAGTACTTGTTTTATTTCCACTCTAATCATTTTTATACAGCTTTTCTGTAAGCCTTTAAACCTCTCTTTGGTTATGGAACTCAGAATTATTTTTTTAATAAATGTTTCTTTTAAGGGATTAGCAAAGTAATCACATTGTTATAAATACCCAGACAGTGTAACTCTTTTGTTTTTTTTGTTAGTAAAGGCTCTTATGTATAATATTTTTCATTGCATAAATTGTTTCTTTCTAGGGTGAACAAGGGAAAAAAGGAGACCCAGGTCTGGCTGGCACTAATGGACAAAATGTAAGCCTAACTCTCTTTTTTCTAATAGTCTTTTCATTTTGCCACTGAAATATGTTGGCTATCTAATGCTATTAAGACTCAATCATAAGAATCAAGGCAATTTTTCACATGGCTCAGTAGAGACCCGAAGGTTTTAATTTCACTTCAGGTAGTTCCTTGACTTTATATACAGTTGACCCTTGAACAACGTGGGGATTTGGGGTGCAGTAGCCTGCACAGTCAAAAATTTGCATTTAACTCTTGACTCCCCCAAAACTTAATTGGTTCCAGGACACACATACACACACACACACACACACACACACAGACTCCGTGGATACCAAAATCCATGGATACTCAAGTACTCTGTATAAAATGGAGTAAATCAATGCATACGGCCGGCCCTCCACATCCACGGGCTCCTAACCACGAATCAGAAACAGTACAGGTATTTATTGAAAACAGCCGGTGTATACATGGACCCATGTAGGTCAAACCCATTGTGTCATCCTTAACAGGGCTTTCTTTCTTGTTTCTGGCTTGCATTTTTTCTGCTGCCTTCTTTCTTTTTCTTCTTACATTCTGCTGTGGCCTGGGTTCTTTCCCAGGGCTCACTTTTGACCCTGCCCCAAATCTCCCCCTACTGAGGGGTCCGTGTAGGTAAGATCACAGCGATGAAAAGCAAAGGAAGGGAGAAGCGTATCTGTGTGGCTCACCCTCCACTACACGTGGTTCCTCGACCTCATGGACACTCTTGCCTGTAACATCCTCCGGTCCTACTGTCTCCTCCCTTCACTTCAGGATATTTATCCCCTGGGGTTTTGTTTCAGTTCTCATGATGAAATTTGAAGGCTAGCCCAAATCTGTGTTTTTCTTGGACACGTAGATTAATCTTACTGGAGGCCATCAAACTCACCGTTTACTATAGAGACACTAACTTACCTGGGAAAGTGTCCACAATGAGAATCACTCTTCCCCCACAATTTTCTCTTTTCACTTGCATAAAAATGTTTTTGAAAGGTTCTGAAGGGCCTTTATGGATAAAAGGATAACAAAGCTAGATGTGACTCCTTAACACCATAGACATGTTACGAAATCCATCTTGTATGTGGCAAATCGTTGAAGTGGGAAGGGCTGCTGATCATTACAATCCTTGGGGCCTTTGAACAAAGTAAGAGGGACATCGAGTGGAGGGTGGCTCCAAAAGAGAAATGCCCCAAGAGTAAACCTTAATAGTTAACAGTGGCATGCGGCCTGGTCACCCGCCCCGCCCCTGGCACAGCTTTACTCTTATTTACTACCTAAGGGTCTGCGTTCACATCTTTAGTATGACCCTCGCTCTTTTTTCTCTCACCTTTGAAGTCACTTTTATAAACCAGAGAATGGGAACTAGCCCCAGTGGCTTACAGCTGGAGGAGCCTCTGCCTCTTCTCTCCCTCCCGACTGCACATCAGGACATGGAACGTCACAGCCCTGGGCCCATGCATTTATTCAAATGGAGCCCTGATTCACCTCCTACCCCTGTCATTGGAGGTACCTGGGCTAGTGGTACAGGTTCTGGAGTAGAAAAACAGGGCCCAGTTTGTGTCCCAGTTCTGCCGCTAGCTGAGAAATATCACTTCTCAGAGTCTGTAGAGATGAACCTTGAATAGTTTCTAAAGTCCCCATAGCTAGGATTTCCTACAAAGAGATTATTAAAACTGCGTATTTGGCCCGGTCGGGCGTGGCTCAGCAGTTGAGCATTGACCTAGGATCCAGGCGATCGGGGTTCGATTCCAGGTCAGGGCACATGCCCGGGTTGTGGGCTCGATCCCCAGTTGGGGGCGTGCAGGAGGCAGCTGATCAATGACTCTCATCATTGATGTTTCTCTCTCTCTCTCCCTCCCTCTTCCTTCCTCTCTCTGAAATCAATAAAGACATATTTTAAAAAAACCAAAAACTGCACATTTGAAAGCATGATGAAATTTAAAGCATCCCTCCAGGTTTCTGGGGTTCCTGCTCCATGTAAGGCAGTGGGGAGAATAAAACGGGCACAGCTGGAGCCACAGGCCTGAAAGTTCTTTCGTGAGGATACTTGTCCTTCCTCCTCTGAACAGAGGGGACATGTGGTCCAACTGTGGTAAATGATTTGTTTTATAGTGTGTTCTATAAAACAGAGAGAACTGGGACCTTTGCCTGCGTGTTTTGTTTTTTTCTCTCATACTGTTCGTGAAAGCAAAGACCTTTTCTAGTACTTCATAAATGTTTGGAATGAATAAGTTCTCAATATGTATTTGCTAATGTTTCATTTTAAAAACTGAGAGACTGTTAAAATAGTCTAAAATATAAGTAAGTAGAGCCTGAATTAGGAAATAGAGATGAAAGGGAGGGCACAAATAGTGATACTGCAGAGGTAGAATATATACAATTTGGTACTTGGTTACAGTGAAAAGATAAAAATAGCCCAAGGCTTTTGACTATTTATTATGGGAAGGATGTTATCTCACAAGAAATGTAGGCATGTGGAAAGAAATTAACTATATTGTGGCAAAAGATAACCGAGCTACATACATGTGGACTCCCTGAGGTAGATGATATATTTTTAGAAGTTTATTAAGATAATATTAGAACTGAAGTAGAGAAAGGTTTGTCCGAAATACTGGAATAAAACTGGAAGGAGTCTTAAGGGGTCAGAACCTAAAATATGTTCACATTAACTTACAGATTTGGGGAGGGGGAAATTATGGTCTCTGAACGTAAGGTGACTTGGCTTTCTGGAATTAATCGATATACTCGTGTATTTGAGGGCCCATCACATGCCCTAACACTCTGGCAGCCACTGTGTGAGCCCCAGGTCTGAGGAGTTCACCTTGTGGACAGAGCCCCCAGCCTGCTCAGACTCTGACCTCTCCACTTCGAGGAACCTTGGAAGTGTCCTTCACATGCCCCCAGTCAAAGGCTGTTATTTCTTTAGCATCAGCATTGTTTAATGTAGCTCGTTAGGTACATCAGAAAGCATGGCATAGCACATTAACTAACTTTTCTCACTTGGTTACTTAATTAATATGCAGATGGTTTTATTTTCCTTTCCTTAATTTTGCCAAAGATACTCAGGAGTCATGACGAAGGAGAAATAAGAAAAGCGATGGAAGTCCCCCTCTTTCCCCTTTGCCACCGCCGGGAGTGAAGAGTCACTGGTGGTGGTGGCTTATTGTTTTATCAACTGTTTTCATGAGGAATTTGAAATGTGATCCTCAGTCCAGCTTTACGGGCTAGCTAGCCGATTTCAGAGTCAAGCAGTTTTATAGGTGGGTGGACAGGAGGCCAATCCGGATTTTTACAAATTTTCCCGATGTGCAATATAGCATTGTAAGCTTCCGCCTATGGGAAAAAAAAGAAAGAAAGAAAACTTCTTCTAGAAAATGGTAAAATCAGCCCTTAACCCCATATGTTTTACTGAGAAGTCTCTTATTTTCCCACGAAATCATGCCACCCTCGTGATTGTTTTTCAATGCAGAAAAAAACGGACTCTGCAAACTAAAACCATTCAGCACTTATGACAGTTGCCTCTGAGTTTCAATAAGCACAGGTACACCTTCTTAGGGCATGGAGAGTATTACAGTAGCTATTTCAATTTGAATTGAAATCAAGCCACGATGGGGATTATAACTCTATGGGCCAGCTCACTCCAGCTACTTTCCAAGTCAGAGAAAGTTGGAAGAATTTAATATTCCTCCTAAATGAATCATAAGCCTTTTAATAGTCTTTATTCTTGCATAGTACAAATATCTTGATGTAAATGTATCTTTTAATAATTTCCTCTGTGCCAGCTTCCCCACAAAATGTGCAAGCTCGCTTCAGAAAGTGTAAACCTTATTAAAGGGGAGGGTGCAGTGGTTCAGTCTTTCTCCAGGGGATACTGCTGGCATTTGGGACAAGACATTTCTTTGCTATGTGGGACTGTCTTACAAGGGCAGGATTGCCAGTAGCAAATCTTAGTCATTAGAACAAAAAAAAGAAATCTTTGATATCCGTCTAAGTTCAAACTTGACTCTCTCTGTCTCTCCTTCTTTGTCAATCTGTGTGTGTGTGTGTGTATGTATAAACTGTGGATTGATCTCCAGGGTATTGGAGTATTATACTAAAGTTATTGGACTAAACACATATAGTTTAAATAATGCATACCAAATATATAGTTTAAATAATACATTTCAGACATATAATTGCAGTTGTCAAAATTTTGAATTGCTAGAATTTAGCTTTCAAAATATAAGACCCCAACTCTAAGACAATCTAGTTTATAACTGAATTATTTGGCCTGTGGCCTACTGTGGGACACATTCCACAATGGCATCTTAGAACAGACTTGAGAGGGAGCCTTGCAAAGTTATTAGTGTGACCTTTGAAGCCAGACTACCTGGACTCAGGTCCCAGCTTGGCCACTGCCTGGCTTCCATACTACTTGGTACATTGCTTATGCTCACTGTGACTCAGTGTCTTCATTTACACAATGGGGTCTTAATATTAATGGCACTTAACTCATAGGCTTTTGTTTGAGGATTACAGGGCTTATCATATGTAAAGCATGTAGTATGTAGTACAGTACCTCACATACAGTAAGAGCTATATAAATATTTGTTATTTTTAGAAACTGTGTAAAATAAAACACATTTATCTCGAATAGAAATAACTTTTTATTTATTTGTTTTTGTGTGGCTATATAATCTTAGAAATAGTAGATTTCAATCGCTGAATTTAGTCTCTTCCTCTGCATCTTTATTATTGTCTTTCAAACATCCCTTATCAGAATTGCAGCATCTGATGTTCCTAAAATAATCATGTTAATCTCCTTATACCAATCCAATCTATAATACTGACTACAAAAATACTGAAATCACAAAGCTACCAGCCGGCAACAGCTGGCGCCATTGCTAGGGGAAGGTGATGCAGTCAGTGGAAGACAGGTAAAGAATTAATGGATGGGTTAAAAATTTTAACAAATAACATTATTTTGTATCATCTTTTGATGTTCAAAGATGCGCATATTATGAGTAGCTCTTCCAATAAAAATTAGTTTCATCATCTACCTGCTTTTATAAATGTGGTTATCATCGCCCTTCAGCTTTCTGCTTGCCTTTAGATGAGGCCCTGTCTCTGCACAGCATACAGAGTCAACTACTGTGCTTTCGAGAACTTTTATATACATGAATTTTATTGAGAACCTTGATAATAGATGCCTGCCTTATTCAATATTGAATTCAGAGTCTGTTCCATTCGATTCTTTATGCTTTATGGTAAGTGCTATATCTTTGTCTCCCCATTGATAGCAGCACCAGTGTGACATGAGGATAGAAATTGCACTTGAGGAACGTATTACAGATCTGCTTCTCAGAGCCTGCTATGATGCCAGGGCCTTAAAAACATTGTACTTTGTCACAGGAAGACATGAGTTACATGGGCCCACTTCAATGGCCATAAAGGCAGAAGCTTGACAAATGCACTGCTTCTCAATTGCATTTTATCCCTTATGTGAGTTAAAGCACAATTGTACATATCCATCAAAGTGAGTGCAAAACTGAAGTATTAATTATCCATTCAACTTGGACTTCAAAAGTAAAAATAGCATTTATTAAGTACCTACCATGTGCTAAGTGTTTTTACAATATATGAGTCTCAGAACGGCCTTTCAAGATAACTATTATTTATGTGTGTTTTACAGGGAAGCTTAAATAACTTACTCAGGATTATGCATAAAATTCAACTCCTGCCTGTCTGGGTAGCTCAGTTGGTTTAGCATCATCATCATCCCAGGTGCCAAAGAGGTTGCAGGTGCGACTCCCAGTCAGGTCACATAACTAGGCTTCGGGTCTAATCCCTGGTTGGGGCACATACAGGAGGCAACTGATGCATGTTTCTCTCTCACAACAATGTCTCTGTTTCCTTCTATTTTCTCTCTCCCCTCCTCCTCCTCTCCTTTGTCTTTAGAATCAATCAAAATATCCTTGGGTGAAGATTAATATTAATAACAATAATAATAATAATTTGATTCCTTTCCTGACTCTTCTGAACTCCACCTGCAGTAGACTTAGGCATCCCTGGGAACCGCTCTTCGTGCCTGCTCTCTGCTTCTATAGCAGCACTCAGTATTCGTATCAACTCATAACTGGCTACATCATTCCCTGCCCCCTTCCTGACCAGAGCTGTTTGAACTAGGGATAGTTAGCTACAATCAGCGGTCAGTAAGTTCCTTCTCAGAAGTTGTAGTTAGGGTTAGTTTGTCAGGCAGAAATACCAGGGGGAAAAATTATTCTATGCCTAAAAATATCTTTGTAACATGTAACATGATGATTGTGAATCATACTAATTACTGGAAAACGACGTACCCAGAACTCAGTGTAATCACACACCCCACCCCAGAGTTAACCGTCTTCCTATATGTGATGTTTAATGTTTCCTTCTATTTTTAAAAATAATGTTTTCATATTCATAAGTTCATAGGATAAGAGGGCTTAGTCTTGCAGGAATGGATCTTTGGTGTCTTTCTTGGCCATCTCTTTCTTCATGGATAGTGTTACACCAGTAAGAAGAGAGAAGACCTCTTTTTAGTAAATTTCTCAGTTCGGTAAATGGCACAACCTCCTAGCCAGTTATTTAAGCCAAGTGCAAATCAGCCCTGATGCCTCCTTTTCTCTGTCTTCACTTCCAGTGCATCTGCAAGTCCTGCCTTCCAGTGTGTGCCCATCCAACCACTTCTCTCCTCTCTCCCACCACCACCCAGTCTAGGCCGCCCTGCTCTCTTGCCTGGAAAGCTGTGATAGCCCCTCTTCTGCTTCCACTCTTGCTGCCTTCAGTCTTTTTTCATGTTGTAGCCAAAGTGATTTATTTTTTAACACAGTCATATCATGTCATTTCCATACTTAAAACAATAAGTGACTTCCCACTGTCCTTGAATAAAACCTGTCCTTACCATGGCCTGCAATTCTCTATGTGCCATGACCCCTGGCTAACCTTGACTTAACCTCCGGCTCCTTACCTGCTTGTTCATGAGACTCCTTTCACCCTGGGGGCTTTGGGCTAGCTAGCCCTTTCCTCTACCCCCAACGCTTTTCCCCAGGATCATTGCATGGCTGGGTCTTGTGAAACAAGTTTCACTCCCACACAGAGGCTGTTTCCAACCACCCCGACTGAAGGAGCAGTTCTCTCTTCCTTCAAGTTGATCGCATTCAGCATGTTGACCTGTTTGTTGTCAGCCACTCTTCTCTTTGAACATAAGTTCTATAAGGGCAGGGGTCTTGATTTTGTTAAGGAAAGATTATTAAAATGGTAAGAGAGATTTTTTTATTCAAGACTATTGCTATAAGGGTATTACAGTAGGAAAGAGAGATTGAGCTCAACCCTGAATACAACAGAACAAGTGGGATTTATAGCCAACTCACAGAGTGACGGGTCAGCAAATGGAGAATCGCTAAGAGCAGAGATCAATGGTAGGGGGACTCTTGCTAATGGCAGGCCAAAGATGTCACGGGTGGGGGATGAGGAGCCTGATCTAATATCAGGGGTGGGGGACAAGATGGGGACAAGGTTGAGGCCTAATCAAGTAGAAGGCTCAGAGGAGCCTGACTAAATTTGGTCAAGGAGAGAGTCTTTGTGAACTTCTTTTTTTTTTTTTATCCCTATATAACACTATCTGATAGTAATACGTTATGTTGTATATTATATATTATGTATATAATATTATTTTAAAATATAATGTTACAAATTCAAGACACATATAAATATATAACATTTCTAGTAGCCACATTAGAAAAAGTAAAAAGAAACAGGTGAAACGAATTTTAATAACATATTTTATTTAATCCCTTATCCAAAATATTATTTATCATTTCAATATATAAGCAACATAAAAAGTATTAATAGGTAATTTATTATTATTAATAAGTAGTTTTTGTACCAAATATTAAAAAGCCAGTAGTATTTCCGCTCACAGTACATCTCAATTCCGACTAGTCACGTTTCAAGGACTCGAAGGGCACACACGGCTCCTGGCTACTGTACTGGGCAGTGCAGGTCTGAAGGCTGGGAGAGCGACTGCACACAGGCATACAATAAGTGTTTATTGACTAAATGGGTGAGTGAATGAGTGAACTGAGAATAAAATCTATTCACAGAACTGTGCGTTTTCCTCCTGCAAGTGTTCAGAATATGCAGGCGCCAACTTTTACTCCAGAGGCATGGGTAAATTTAGAGCTTGTGCTGCTTGATTTGGGACGGAATGGATATCTCAAATAATAAGAGCGTATCACATCTCAAATGTGATTTAATTTTTCACTCATCCGTGTTCTATAACTACTCCAAGGTAATGATGGAGGAAACAGCTATAAATTTCATCCACAAAGGTGTTTATGCAACTACAAAGGTTTTTTTCCAATTAGATGCTGTTTTCATCCATCAATTTTTTTTTCTTAAAGTGTTAAGACTACAGTTTTCACATACTCTTTGGAACAAGATTTTAAGTTCCAGTTTTCTTTTGCCCCTTTAAATTTATAATTGGCTTCTGTATTGAGTACGCTCCAGGTGATGGCATTTGGCATTGTTTATTTATTGCCGACCGCCAGAGCAGTGATAGCTGGATCCTTCAGGAACAGTAAGACGCCTAGATTTACTGTGCATTGTGTGGCTTCAGAACGTTTCTTTTTTCCATTATTGTTCTTCCCTAACTCAAGTACAAGAAAGATGTTTTTTCCTATTTACCGCACAGTCAGGGTGTGTCTATCTAGCTTGCTTTCTCTTTATACTATGAGTACTTTCGGCTGTAGAACCGATCTCCTCTGGTGAAATCTGTTGTGATTTTCTGAAAGCTGTCATTTCTGAGTCAGGTCAACTAAATACCCACTAAAAAATCTAAGAGTCTACAAGTCTCATGAATATATTTACCTGATGTGCTATGTCTTATATAGTTTCACTTTGATAGCTTTATAAATCCAGGTTTAAAAAAAAAGAGAGAGGAATTAGAGAACTAAAAGATACTTTAAAACAGAAAAGAGATTACATTTTAGTTCCAGCTTTGTGAATGATAGGAAAAGAATACATCTTTCATTTCTTTCCCCCCCACAATTAGATTTCTTGATGGAGACATAAAAATGTTTTCGATTTAAATCTTAAATTTGGGGGACAAGCTTTCTAAAGGCCAAATCAATGCTAAATCAGAGGTATTTACAACATCTACAAATTTAATCCAAAGTGGATACTTAAAAGCTCATATAGATCTAAATGATGTTCTCCCAGATGGTGAATTAATGTAATTTTAGCAGGAAGCAAAGTTGCACAAATATGCAGTATGCAGGACTCACACTGATTTAACGTATCTGTACCCACCACAGCACAGATGTTGCTTGTCATTTCACCACCAGTTGTCTCTATTTCTCTCCATACTACACACTGAAGAATGGGAATTGGGAGTTCAGTAAATTATGATTTATTTTGTGACTAATGACTTGTTAGAAATTGAAGCTTTCTGTGCACTGTATAGAAATCACATTGGTTTTATTTTTTTATTTTTTTGTACAGGGTTTGAAAGGTGACTTGGGTCCTCGTGGTCCACCCGGCCCAAAAGGAGAAAAGGTATTATATTCACTGAGAAAAGTGCCAACCGTTTCTTAAGAAAACCCCTAAGAACTTATGCAGTGACTTTTCATTGATGCCTTTTAACTGCCAGAAGTTAATTTTGTTAAAATTCACCAAAGGCTGTTATGTTAAAAGCATCTGAACAAGAAAAGCCTTTTCGGTTCATTTAATTAGTTTGAAGAGACTAAATGCACAATTGCTAGTCGACATTAATTTGTGTGTATAAGATTTCCCTTTTCTCTCCCTTGCTTAACAGTGTTAGGTATTCCATCACCAAATTAGCAACCGTGTCCTGTACCAGGGAACTTTGCCAGCAGCACTGAGCTGCTACCCTAATGCTGAGGCAGGTGGCCTTTGGGGAAGGAGGCTAATTTTGTATCTCAGTCTTAGTCTAAATGCTCCATTTCCTGCCACCTTTCCTTATATTCCATTTTATAATGGCATATTGGCAATTGACCTTGAAAAGGGAATTAAGAAATAGTAAAAGCAAGAGTCGTTCGGCACAAGGTCATTGGATGATCCCAATTTGATGAGAGTTGTACATGTAGGTGTTTTACGCTGTATTTTTTTCCTTCACCATCAGCACATTTAGAAACCCTTGTCTGTCTTCAATATTTACCTCTGCATTAAAGCTGGTCCTGTAAATCGGTCCCCAGTGAGTGATTTAAGCTGCATCAATGTTTCTTAACAATGACTGGTTATTTATATTCAGTTGTTCCCCCAAATAATGATTACACAATGCTAAGTCTTAACTTTTGAGATGACTCTATTAGATGAGAAAAGAGAAAGTCATAGAGATACTCTCAAAGTGAGAATACAAGGTCCCAGCGCCCCATGCCACACAGCATATGGCCTCGATAGTGTCCACTTAAACACCGATCGTAGCTGTGATGCTTGGTCTTAATGACTTTGAGTTCTTATGAATTAAACAGGGCTGCTGATACAATAAGGCATATAGGTGACATTTATAAATCAGAAAATAGTGAACTTTCAGATGAACCATTTTTTGAAGGTTTTGACTAGTTTGTCAATACATCCACCTGGTAATTTGTATTCATGTACATCACCAAAGCAATTTTAGTATTTAAAAATACATAAATATAGGCAAAGCCTCTTACAATTGATGGCAAGTGCAATGCCAATTCAGCAGAGCGTTAGAAGAGGCAGTGGGACCACTTCTTGCAGCTGGGAGGCTTGAAGTGAGGACATCCATTTATTATTTCTGCTGATCCTCATACTAACTTTATCAGAAAAAATTGTCTATTGATGTGACACTTCTCAGCTGCTCCATTGGCAAGGAATCATATTTGAAGAGATATTCTTTCTAATTTTGGATTAGTAGAAAAAAGAATAGAAATTAGATTACCTTAACTTTTCAAAACAAGTTCTCCAAAAAGCATGGGGGTGCACCAGGTGGTATTTATATCATGAGAGCTAAAAGCCTATGACACATTGCTCAGTGTGCAGATAAACTTCTATTTTTTTTTCACTTCAGAATTTATCTAGATATTGCTGCTATCCATTTCAGAAAGTTTATAAACATCATGTGTAAAAAGAGACTATTGGTTAATTACAACCTTTTAAAATTTATTTTAGGGAGATACAGGACCTCCAGGACCACCAGCCTTAACTGTAAGTATTCTTAAAATCAAAAAGCAAAATTGAAATATGTTATCCTATTTATTGTTTACACTACATCATGACTAAACCAGAATTTAAGCCATAGGGTATTCTGAGAATTGATAGTGACATCAAGGTGGATCTAGCCAAACCTCCAAATGCTAAAGATGGGGCATCTACTCACAATAGTGAAGTACTTAACCTGGGGTTATATAGGTGTTACTAGAAAAGTCTGGAAGCAGTACCTGTCCTGAGCAATTTTCTCTACCTTCCATATGGTTCATAATTTTACCACTTAAATGTTTGATTAGACATTCTTGACATGACATTTAAAGTTAATGGAAGCAGAGACAGTTCGAATTACTCTGAAGACTGTAAAAGAACAAAATAAACCATAATCACCCAGTGATAAAAACAGCTACCTATTTAAGTTACATTCCTCCAAACCTGCCCAAGACCGTTGTTTTTTTCTATATGATTTGTGTCTTAAGATTTGCAAGTGGTAAAATGGTAATACTTCAGTAACAGATTTGAGAAAAGTTTACAATGTGCACATAATGGGATTATTCTCATTTAAGTGCTTCATCATTTATTAAGAATTTAATCATCAATATGTAATCATCTTATATTAGATACAATTTACTGTCATAGATTTTGTTCATAGGCCGTTAAGGATTCTCATTTAACTTAAAGATTTGATATAAGAATGACTCTAAACCTAATAGAAAAGAAGAAAGTTTTTAAAATAAGATTATTTGTAGCCCAAGGTCTCTCAGATTTAATGCTGGTATTACCTAATGACATAAGTTAAGAATTTAAGTCATCCATTTTCAAAGACCTGTCCTGATTATAGAAGGTCATGTTTAAAGAAGTCTTCTGGCATCTGGAGGGAGCTTTTCCCAACAGAGCAGCACAGGGATCTCAAAGGCTGTATGGCTTTGATAACATTTACATGTCTCTTTTTACTTGAAAATGTCATTCTGGAGAATACCTTCGAAACATCTTACACAAATAGTCCTTGCAGTGCTTACTTAAAGGACAAATACTTATTTATAAATGGAAAATCTAAGCAACCAAACAGATGACTAACTTAGGAAGAACGAAATTCAACTGAAAATGGAATTCTGTGCTTGAAACTTCTGTTTTCAAGATGGAAATAAAAACTTTATTTAGAGGAAGTTTAATCAGCATAGTATTCTATTTTTATACCATGCAGAGTTTATTTTAAAAATTATTTGGCAGTGATTCAGGGTTAAGCCTGCTCATTTTACTTAAGTCACATGCTTGTTTTTCTTTAATTAAGCTATTTGCTCAATCACTTCATTTAGTTATCAGATGTCCTCGTTGTTTTCAATTTGTGTTTGAAGACGAAATGCAATTTATGGGTATCATTTCACCTGATACGAAGTTTTGACCCTGCAATCAGAAAATTGTATTGGGCTGCATCTGTTTTGTGGAGTTTTAGTGGAGGCTAATGTTTTCCTGCCAAGTAGCACCCTACAGATGTCTCTGCACGATTCAGCTGACAGATACCGAAGGGAGTATAAGCTAATTGTTATACTTATCTAAAGATATGTCAAAGCAATAAGACAATGAAATGAAATGTTTTATTTCATAAAGTAAAATATTAGCATTATTTGGTTATGACTATCTATATACTTGTCATTACTTTATTAATGTAGATAATCAGCTGTTAACTATGAAATAGGGATGAACTTAAATGAATGCCAAATTACCATGCACTAAATATTTAATTTACCATATCACACATATTGATACATTTTAATGAAGTGATTGATAACAGTCTTCAAGGAAGCTAAAATGACTGACTCCACTATATTTGAATGAAATGCACTGATATATAGGAGTCAATAAACTTCGAGTTCATCCACAGTGGTTCTCATAGCTAGCTGCACACTGAACTCCACCGGAGAGTTTTAAAACATACCAATGTGTGTCTCCACTTCCAGAAATTATAATTCAATAGATATGATGTGGAACCAGTACACTTAAAAAGCTCTCCTGGTAGTTATATATGCAGAGGGAGTTGAAAGCCACTGTTTGTGGGCACTAGATTGGAACAAGCTTTTTTCCTACTTGGAAAATTCCTTTAGACTTTTGAAGGAGTCTGGCTTTCATCTTAAATTCAACTTATGTATGGTGATAAAGAAATATCTCATTCCATTCTGGAGGCATAGTAGTAAAACTAAATTAAGATTGAAGCCTGCGTGGTTAAGTGGAGGAGATTAGGGCTAGGAAAGTACCTTTAATTATAGCCTTAACTTAGCCATTCAAGGACTCCTGTGGGCTCAGGTGCCTTAATACATCTCAAAACTTAATGTGCATAGGAACCTTCAGGGTCTTGTTCAAACGCATATTTTATTCCATAAGTCTGAGGTGTGGGCCTGAGATTCTAACATTTGTGACAGGAAGATGCAGATGCTGCTGGTCCTTAGACCACACTTGGAGTCACAAGTGTTTAACACCCAATCCCCAGCTGTGCTGCAGACTCTCTGCTTCATTCCACAGATCAGTGCCTCTCCACCTGGACCGCACATTAGAATCGCCTAAGGTGCTTTAAAAACTCCAATTCCCAGGCTGCACCCCATGCCAGAAAAGTCAGAATCTCTGGTCTGTTTAAATTTTCCCCCAGCACTTCCAATGTGCAGCCAAGCATGAGAACTACTGCTTGGAAGGCGTGTCGAATACTTTTCTCCACAGCTTCCTCTTTCAGAGTTTGAGCAAACATGTTAAGACTACTCATTATCTCAGTATTTTTATCAAAAACACCCAACCTGATTTGATTACTTTCGGAAGTGCTTCCAGGACATGCAGACTCTGTGAATACCTGTGATTTGGTTCCTGGGTCCTGATTATAGAGGATGGCCTTCCATCTCCACATTTACAACACACCTGCACGTCCCTCAGCAGCCCCGTCTCAAGCAGGACCCAGCATTGTCAGGCCCAGCGCATAGAATTCCAGGGACTAGGCATACAGACCTGAACTGCCCTGAATAAATAAGGGAAAAAAGTCGAACGCTTCTTTCCCCTCTAAAACAAGCACACTATATTTATTTTACTTTAATTCATATTTTGCTTAATAAGAAGTTGAGAGGCATAGTAGCTGAGCACACTGAAACTCTGAGTTTTCTGATGCAGGGCAATCCTATTTGATACAGAACATTTTTGTGGATTGTGTTTATCACTGGTACGTCCATGTCCCTGAGGATTACCGTGCTTTGGCTATTATTTTAAATTTTAAAAATCATGTAGAACCATTTTATTTCAGAAATTCAATCTATAAAACTATTCCTCTATTTTAATTAAATACTGCCCTGTTTCTTATTTCTACTGTTTCTTAGAACCGGTTCTATATAATTGGGTCTCAGTGGAGTAAATGGATAAAGGAGTAAGAGAGGCCAAGTGTAGAAGGAGTGAGAGGCGAAGGTGAGGGAATGGTATAAAACATAGACCAGAGGCCTAGAAAGAGTTTCATTAATTGAATTTACCTGCAACAGCTCTTACCCTTTATTTCACCTTCCCCGTTCCCACCACCTTGCAGTCTCTCTGCCAGCCACCAGCACCACCTTACTCCACTCTCCAATGACGGGAAACCTCTCACTGAGAAAACCAACCAAACGGCGCTGTCCTTTGCAAACGCAGTGCGCGCCAAACTCCCTTATTATTTGAAGAAATGAGATCCCGTTTAAGATTCCACAATGGGATCCATTTGACAGCATTTGAATCCTTCTATAGATTCATATTCATAGATAATATGAAGAGAACTCCAATGTGACTGCAAAAAAAAAAGCTGAGGAAGGAAGAAAGGAAGGAAGGGAGGGAGGGAGGGAGGGAGGGAGGACAGAGGGAGCATAGAGGGAGGACAGAGGGAGGACAGAGGGGAGGAGGGCGAGAGTCACTGTAATCTGTAGCTCAGAGACAAGAAAACAAGAGATTAAGGTGAAGGGCTGAGGATCTCTTGCTAGGCATATTTTCAACAAGCACAGCTGGTTGAAAATAAAAAAATTAATCAAATCACTTTGATGTATTTCCAGCCTTTTTTGGATAACAGATTCACTAATTAGTTTACTTCTAAATTTACTATTGTTTAAACACCGTAAGCTATTATGATAGCTTACAACAAGTACAGTATTAATGTCCTGAAGAAATAAATATGAGATTTTTAAAACTGATTTAAACTAACCAATGGATCATTCTTTCTTCATCCTTTCTTGTATATTGAACTGATAACTGTTCTTTAAAAAATCTTGATATATCCTAAGTAATAATAATAATGACAATAATAAATGGCAAACATTTATTGAATGCTTACTCTGTGTTATCCAAATCATTCCTTATACCACCTTGTGAGATAGAAAATGATTATTACCACATAACAGGTGAGGGAACTGAGGACTAGAAAACTACAAGTTAACTATGTTCACTTGCCCAGGGTTCCAGAGGTGGTAAGTGACAGAACTTATATATTCAGATACCTGTTTGACTCTGAAACCTAAGCTTTTTTTTTTTGAGACAAGCATATAATTTTATTTAAAGAAGTATTCTCTTGCTATTTCATTTTTTCAGCTTTATATAGTTGACATTTAACACGGTATAAGTTTAATGTTTACAATGTAGTGAATTTATACATGTATAGATTGTAAAATGATTGCCACAATAATGTTAATTAACGGCTGCTGGGAGTAGCTGGGAGAATAGCAGCCAGGGCTCTCAGAGGGCAGCAAAAAACATGGATCCTACTAACCATCTTGCAGAGTCCATCTGGAAGGCCACCCAGATGTGGAGAAACAGGGAGCCCTTGTGCATACTGGTTGCTGCAAATTGGTGCAGCGCCTGTGAAAAACAGTATGGCGGTTACTCAAAAAATTCGAAATAAAACTACCACATGATCTAGCTATCCCACTTCTGAGTACATATCTAAAAGAAATGCAGTCAGTATTTTAAAGAGATAATCTGCATTTCCATGTTCATTTCAGCATTATTGAAACAACCTAAGTGTCTATCGACAGATGAATGGATAAAGAGTATGTCATATA